CCCCAAAACCCCAAAACCCCAAAACCCCAAAACCCCTTAAATTTCAATTTTATTGAAGATTCCCTAAGATTTTATCCTTACTATCTTGCATCCAAATCTCCAAAATCCCTTCTACTGAATTCTGAACATCCGCCTTTAATGCCCACTTTTAGCTTAATTATTTAGGTCTGCAGAGAAGCCGGATGACTGGGACCAGGACTCATATAAAGCAGAGAACTGAGCCGACCAAATCTGTGATGTAGAAGGAGTAACTGAAGTAGAGGATGTCAGTGGGCAGGTTGAGGAGTGAGTCCAGGTAGATTAGTGGGGATACTGTTGATGCATGTGTGTGTTTGTAGGCCAGGGATAGGAAAAGGTAAGCTAGGAGTGCTAATATTCCATCGCTTAAGCATAGTAAAATTTGTGGAACTGAATAATTCTCTGGGTGCAGCAGATCAGAATAAAATAGCGGAACTAGTACTGAGGTTAAAAGTCATCCAAGACTGAGATAATATGGATTTAAAATATAGTGGATTTCCAAGTTTAGTTTTCTTGTCAAGGTAAAAGAAAAACTATCTGAAATGCATGCAATACTTGCAAGAAGGATGCCAAGAATTTCACCTTCGCTTTGAGAATTTTCATTCCTTCCTAGTCCAATGATTACTATTCCTGCAAATGCTCCAAATCAGCAAACAATTTTAATTAAATTCAGCTGTTCTGAAAGCATAAAATATGCGAGAATCATCACTAAGATAGGATTGATATTATAAATCATCATTGCTATGCTTGCTGGTAAGTACCTCATACTTGCTACAAGAGATCCTATTGCTATGATACCTAGGAAGACTCTTAACATCAGAATTGTGGCCATTCCAGGATTAATTTCAAATAAATTCACCTTTAGAACTTTCGCTACGAAATAATACACAATAGTTGTTAATCATCACCTAATCAGTAATATATCAAATATTCCGACCTCAGTGTAATTATGATAGATTCATTTTATCACAAATCCGACTCCAGCGAATCAAAAAGCGCATAATACCATATATAAAATTCCTTTCAAGCTATTTTCACCTTCTCCCTTACCAAAATCCAGATCCTCGACCTGAAGAGACTCACTAAAATCAAGTCTTTTCTCTACCTCTGAAGCTTCATGACTCGACTCCTGACTTTCCGATCCTGAAGGTTCGAATCTTTGTCACAGGAGTTTTCGATCTGGATACATTTTTATTTTATCCAATATCCCCTAAATTCCCGGGGTTTTGGGGTTTTGGGGTTTTGGGGTTTTGGGGTTTTGGGG